TTTAATAATCCTTTCAATTTAATAATCCTTTAATCTTAATAATCCTTTCATTTTAATAATCCTTTCATTTTAATAATCCTTCAATCTTAATAATCCTATAATTGTTATAATTTTTTAACTTTAATAATCCTTTCAATTTAATAATCCTTTAATCTTAATAATCCTTTCATTTTAATAATCCTTTCATTTTAATAATCCTTCAATCTTAATAATCCTATAATTTTGACAATCCTTTAATTTTAATAATCCTTTCAATTTAATAATCCTTTAATCCCAAACCAAACCCAAACCCCATAACTATTTTAAAAAAGGGCTTCCCCTGGTGGAGTAACGCCAACTACACAGCTGGCCTGTAAGGCAGCATCAATCAAGTTGGTGCACTGATTGAAGTTTAGACTCTATCAATAGATCACAGATCAAACAGGGTTTGGTCATGTTCTCCGTGTAGAACCCTGGTTCTAGTCCATATATATGTGCATGTATATGTATATATGTGAGGATGTCTGTTTGTAGGAATACTGTTGCTGAGAGGAGACTTTGTCCTCGTGGGGGGTTGGGGTCGGGGGGGAGTTCAGGTTCAGTTCAGGTTCAGTTCAGGTTCAGGTTTTAGTTTGTTTTTAGGATTCAGATTTTGAATGAAGTCTCAGACGGAATTTAGGAGAAGGACGAGGGTTGGTTAAGGTTAGGATGAAGGCCCAGGGAATACGTTATTCTTGTACAGCGATCACATGACACAAAGCCCTGTGTGTGTGTGTGTGTGTGTGTGAATGTACAATTCAGTGGTATGTACATGTATGTGTGTGTCAGTGAGACAGCAGTAAATCCTCTGCTCTGTTATTTCGGTCTGCAGGACATCCTCTGATCCTGCCTGCTAAAGGTCAGACATCACTGGGTCGCTCTGTCTGTCTGTCACTCTGACTGACTGACTGACTGACTGACTCCCCCCCTCTCTCTCTCTCCCTCTCCCTCCCTCTTTCTCTCTCACACACACAAACATATCTATGATTTAATTTTCAATAATATTATGAAATGTGTTCTGCTCATTGTACTGATGATATAAATAGTATATAATCAACATATATATATATGTTGATTATATATATACATATATCTATATGTATATATACATATATGTATATATATGTATACATATATGTCCTTCCTGTTCATCTCTCTGTTTTTCAGAGGATCATTTTAATTTGAATTCCAACTTTTAAAACTATAAAGCTGGGCTTAACTTTAAACCTGCAGACACACACACACACACACGGCAGTGCAGAAAGTCTTAATAACAACAATGATGTTGTTGTCATGGTGACGCTGCTGATTTCAGTTAACGGTACTTTGTTGCTATTGGCTCCTCGCATCAGAACTGTTGTTAGTCATGTTTTCATGCTTCGCTATTAACGAGTTATTTCCTTTCTGTGATTTCATGTTGACATGTGATACGGTCAGTTTAGTGTTATTAATGTTATGATGTTATTAATGTTGTGATGTTATTAATGTTGTCAGGTTATTAATGTAATTATATTATTATTGTTACGATTTTATTAGTGCTGTGATGTTATTGATGTTGTGATGTTATTAATGTTATGATGTTATTAACACTGTGATGTTATTGGTGTTTTAATTGTCTTGCTGCTGCTGTTGTTGTTGTTATAATTACTATTATAGCAGTGCTATTGACGTCTTGATATAATTACCATTATAGCAGTGCTATTGACGTCTTGATGGTTTTGTTATTATGGTTGTGGTCTTGTTGTTGTCGCAGGGGTCCAATTACTGAAGTTCTGTTTATAAATGTAGTTGCACCATGAGAACAGCGGGCTGTGCTATTCATTCCCTCTGAGCCACAGGGATCATAATGAAGGTCCAGTTGCTGTGGGAGACTTGACGAGGATCGTGTGTTTACCATGTCAGTCTGGTGGTGTTAACGCTCTGTCCTTGCTAAGTGACTTATGTCTGTTGTTTGGGTGTGCGCCCCCTGGAGTCTGGAGTATGTGTCAGTCAAGAACTGAACCAGGACATTTGAACTGTCTTAGAGAGAGACCACTGGGAGACAGTTGAACAACAAACACCACATTGTTGTGAAATTGGTTCGTTATCAATGTCCGGCTTAGATCTGCCTTTCATGCGTGTCTTCCGTCGGAGATACGCCCCCCACTTTGGGAACCACGGGTATAGACCAAGCTGTCACAGTGTGTTTTTTTATTATTTTGTTAATAATCTGCTGTGATATAATGTTGTTGTTGTTGTTGTTGTGACAGGAGGACTGTTGTCTCTGACCATTGACAAAGCTCTCCCTGAGGATGAGGGTCAGTACATTTGTGTGGCAGAAAACTCAGGAGGACGAGTGGAGACATCCTGCATGGTTCTGGTGGATGGTAAGTGTGTGTGTGTGTGTGTGTGTTTATGTTGGTGAGATGTGTGTCTGTGTTTGTTTATCCACATCTTATCTCTGTTTGGTCTGATTTTGTTTTTGTTTGGCTTTTTTGTAGTCAGATTTGATTTAAATCTAGAAATCTCGATCTGCTGGAAGTCTCCTCCGTGTCTGCGTCTGTTTCCTGTCATTTAGATTTAATGCTGCTGGGCTTCCAGTCACAGGAGGAGCGTTAGAGCTCCTTCTATCTAGAACTTTTTAACCCTGTCTTCACAAATGAACTGTTGAAATTCCAAAACCGCAACGAAAAAAGATGGGCCTTCAGCTCAGACCTCTGCTGCTCCCTGTGGCCAGTGTATGTCACTGTGTCGCGTTGTTTGTGTGTGTTATACATGTGTTTAAAATAACATTTGAACTGTCACGGCAGGTTGAAAACCACGGTGTGAACTCACATCAGTGGAGACTTTGACTTTTTTAAAAGATTGGTTTTATTCGTATGTCTTAATGATTGACATCCGTTTATTAATTGATTGGTTTTATTCGTACGTCTTAATGATTGACATCCGTTTATTAATGTTTTGTGTGTGTGTTCCTCCTGCAGACCCCCCCGAAACGTCTCCTACAGATAAAAAGTCCAAGTCGGCTCCTACCTCAGAGAGTGAGTTTTCCAAAATATGCAGCAGTTCCTTTTTTATTTTCCTTTTTGTCCCAATAAGGAGCTGAAGCTTGATCCCACCGCCCCCCCACCTCCACTCTCCACGACTCCTCCTCTGTTCAACCCCCACCCTGTGCATACACAGGTTTTAAATAGAAGCCTGTTGCTGTGTGTGTGTGTGTGTGTGTGTGTGTGCGTGCCCCTCTCTCATATCTCACACAGTTTCCCATCATCGTTTATCTTCTCTTGTGATTTTAATTGTTAACCTCAGAACGGCTGTTTTTCAGTGTTCATTGAAGTTCATTGAGTGAACAGTTGAGGGCAGTGTTTACTTTCACATAATTAATGACCGCTAGAAAGTTTACTTTAAAAATACTTCAAACTTGAGTAATGAGCTAAAATAGAGTAGAGAGTTGCAATATATAATATTTATTGATGTTAGCCTCCAAAGAGAAGGGCAACCTGTTTAGCTCACAGACCAAGGTCTGTCGGCTAAAAGTATAAGTTTACAAGGACACAGGACTTGGTCCACTACTGCCCCCTATGGTGAGTTTAAGTCAGGTAAATCTAAAACAAAGCACTTCAAACAATGAAGAAGAGCAGTTTTCACATCTATTGACCTTCCAGCCACAGGCGCCGATTCCGTGGGTACTTCGGGGTCTCAACGGAGATTACCGAGTAAACACGGAGACTCCCGAGCACCCCCCACAGCGAGCACCCACTAACATAAACATAAATCGGCGCCCCTGCTTCCATTACGGCCAAATCTGGGATTTGGCGAGTGGGTGATAACGTATCTGGAGCCCTCTGGTGGCAGACGAGAATCCTGCCTCTGTTCTACTCTAACCCCGAGTGTATTTCACACAGCAAAGTCATTTGAAGTCAAAAAAATTAATTTTTAGTCTTCTATTATATTTTTTGTTAAAGGAAGGTGTTGTGAATAATGCAAAGGCGTCATTAATATGCAACATGGTACCGATGTTGGTACCGATGTTGGTACTGTACGTGAGCTCTAATCTCTTTGAGGTTTGGAACCATTTGATGATGTGAGTGTAAAGTCATCAGTCCCAGTGACATTGTCTTGTTTTCCAGGTGAGGCCAGGATAAAGAAACCCACCACAAAGACTCCCCCCAAACCAGGTGAGAGTCAAACACACACCCTGAAGCCAGGTGCATTCTGGGAAACAAGGATTGATTGATGATTCAATTTTTGATGATTCTTTTTATTTATTATTATTTTTTGACTGTGTTTCTGTGCAGCTCTGCCTCCACAGATTCTGCAGTTTCCTGAGGACATGAAGATACTGGCTGGAGAGAAGGTGGAGCTCGTGTGTCGATTTTCTGGAGCTCAGCCAATCAGCTGCAGTTGGCTTAAATTCAGGAAGCCGGTGAGTTTCTGTCTGTTTCTTAGGCCAGTTATGCCACAGAGGGGTGGGTCACCTGACTAGGAGCTCTGTTTGTTGCCCTCAGATTCAGGAGGGCGTGGGTGGCATCAGCATAGTCACCGATGACGTCAGCAGTCAGCTAACGATCAGCAGTGGTCAGCAGGAGCACTGCGGCTGCTACACCATTGAGCTGAAGAACAGCTACGGTCTGAGGCAGGCGGCACTGAACCTCACTATAGTTGGTAAGGGTTGGTCTATGACTATGGGGGGGGCGAGTCAGGTTGACACTATATAAGCATCGCTCTCTCTCTCTCTCTCTCTGTCCCACAACCTCTCAGATAAACCTGACCCTCCAGCCAGGGTCCCAGCAGCCTCGGACATTCAACGTTCCAGCCTGACTCTGTCCTGGTACGGACCCACGTATGACGGCGGCAGTGCAGTCCAGTCCTACCTCCTGGAGGTCTGGGACTCTGTGGAGCAGCAGTGGCGTCACCTGGTTTCCTGTAACAGCACCTCCTACAATGTCCAGGTGGTTACTTTTAATCACATGGCAGTGAATGGCATGTGGTCGATGACATCATCGTATTCACGTAATTCTATCTAGGTTACTGTCACGACTGTTGTTCTTGTGCAATGACAAAAAAAAAACAACGTCTTTCTTATTTCCAGAACCTTCTCCCCGAACGAGAATACAAGTTCAGGGTCAGAGCTCAGAATGTATACGGCATCGGAGAACCGAGCGCAGAATCAGACCCAGTTACTGTCGGACTAATTAACAACAATGGTAAGAAGATGAACCGTGGTGGCTAATGGTTAGCATATTAGCTTATTCACAATTAATGCTTTAATTTCCCAAAGGGAACTCCCAAGGGATTCATAAAGTTATAGAAATAAAATAAAAATTGTGTGTAGTGTTGTTATGTTGTAAGTAACGTGCAGTCATTTGACTGAGCTAACAATGCTAACTGAGCTACAGTTGCAAATGCTGCTAATGTTTGGTCTGACCAACAGAAAACCACGAAGATGAGGCGGAGGATGAAGATGAAGGTACAGGTCTAAGAAACCCACAAACACAATAACAAAAGCACATCATAAAACTGACATCATGTGACAACAAAGCCAGCCAATCATGTCGAGCCTTCTGCCTGACCTGTGTGACCTTTGACTGCAGACACTGAAAAGGAGCAGGAGTATCGTCACGTGACCATTCGCACTGATTTGAAGGTGAAAGAACTTTATGATGTGGAGGAGCGATTGGGAACGTAAGTCACCGCCCACCAGTGATCACATGACCTGTGCAGTTCCTGTGTTTTTTCACATCACCTTTTACTTTTTAGAGGAAAATTTGGACAAGTTTTCAAGCTGGTGGAGAAGTCTACGAAGAAAGTTTGGGCAGGAAAATTCATCAAAACCTTTTCAGCCAAGGAGAAGGAAAATGTACGACAGGAAATAAGCATCATGAACGACCTTCATCATCCAAAACTGGTCCAGTGCATTGATGCCTTTGAAGCAAAGTCCGACATCGTCATGGTGCTGGAGATGTATGAACAATTTAAACGCTGCAAACACTAACAACATACTTCATTTGACATTCCATGAATGATTCTAGCTCACAGAGACTCTGCTGCTGACTCACTGCTGCCCCCGTGTGGTCAGTTTCTGATAAATAAATCTGAGCAAAGGATTTCAAATAGTGAACTTACAAAATGATACAGATGGGTTTGGGCAGCAGTGGATCAAGAACGTCCGTGTCTTTGTGAGCTACAGTCCTCAGTCCGAGGTTTGACTGTTGTCAACGACTGTCTGACAACAGTGTTTCTATGATTTGATGGTGTTGTTTTCTCTGGACCTGGTGTGTTTGTGGTGGTTGTCTACCAGGATCTCCGGCGGAGAACTCTTTGAGCGGATCATCGATGAGGACTTTGAGCTGACAGAACGTGAGGTCATCAAGTACATGCTACAGATTGTTGACGGTGTCAGCTTCATCCACAAACAAGGCGTGGTCCATCTGGACCTGAAACCTGAAAACATCATGTGTGTCAACAAAACCGGCTCACAGATCAAACTCATCGACTTCGGACTCGCCCGCAGACTTGGTAACTAAAGACATGTCTACGTTGAAAATGTGTGTGTGTGTGGCAACATGTGCGTGAACATCTGTTTGTTTGACCCTGGTCTTGGACAGAGAACTCTGGAACGTTGAAAGTTCTCTTTGGAACTCCAGAGTTTGTGGCTCCTGAAGTCATTAACTACGAAGCTATTGGCTACCCCACCGACATGTGGAGCATCGGAGTCATCTGTTACATCCTGTGAGTACGATTATGTAGATGGATGGATGGATGGATGGATGAACAACACTGACAGCTGAAACAAAACAAACAAAAGTCTGTTTTCTCTTACGTTACTTTCTGATCTATGGATTTTACTTGATGATAGTCACATGGTCACACCTTCCATTTTGTTTTGTTTCTTCGATCTTTACATTAACTTCTTGATTCTTGATTCTTGATTGAATACATTAAATTTATAATATTCGATCAAGCTCGCTTGTTTCTTAAACAATAACCTGATCCTGGTTTTTGTCTCCTCAGACTCAGCGGTTTGTCTCCTTTTATGGGAGACAACGACAACGAAACTCTGTCTAACGTGACCTCAGCCTCCTGGGATTTTGAGGATGACGCCTTCGACGAGATCTCTGACAATGCTAAAGACTTCATCACCAAACTGCTGAAGAAGGACATGAAGTGAGAGAAACACCTATGTCATCCTACAGTTCGAACAGTAATGGACCTGGTCCAGAGATCAGATCAGTTGATGTTAGGGTAAACACAGGGGATGATTCAGCTTTATATTATAAACTTTTCTAACTTTTTTATGCAGATCACGCCTGTCGTGCCCTCAGTGTATTGAACACCAGTGGCTGAAACAGGACACAAACACAATGAAAGCAAAAAAGCTTTCCAAAGAGAGGATGAAGAAGTACATCCTGAGAAGAAAGTGGCAGGTAAACGCCTAATGCTAGCACCTGAGCTAACAGTTGCTACAGAACCCTCTTCTAATCTATGGTTATTTTTCTTCTTTTTTTGCAACAGAAAACGGGTCACGCTGTGCTGGCCATTGGCCGACTGTCGTCTATTGCCATGATGGCGGGTGTGAGTGCAAAAAAAGGGTCACCCACAGAAGGTAAGGTCAAAAATATCTGTAGCCGACAGGCTAAGTGACTTTCAGGCTAGGTGGCTAACGCTACTGTGTGTGGGCAGAGGACAATCAGTTCCTGGAGAGTCTGGAGTACGAACAGAAGGTTGAGTCAAAGCCCACTTTCAGTGTCGTCATCAAAGACGTGGAGGTTGTGGAAGGAAGTGCTGCTAGGTTTGACTGTAAGATCGAAGGTGAGAAAAAAAAAAGTCCTGATGTTGTTTTCTTTTTGTAGCATAAAGCTAAAGTAGGTAGAAAACGTGTTTGTGCAAATCTTGTACGTTACGTCTGTGTGGGTGTCTGTCAGGCTTCCCCGACCCTGAGGTCGTTTGGTACAAGGACAACCAACCGATCAAAGAGACCAGACATTTTCAGATCGACTACGACGAGGATGGAAACTGCAGCCTGGTCATTTCAGAGGTCAGAGGTCATGTGACAGATCTTGTGAACTGTTTATAAAAAAAAAAGTTGCCCTGACTCTGAACTGTGGCTCAGATGGTGTGATGACCCAGACAGAGACATTGATGAATGCAGTGCTTCTCAATTATTTTCTGTTATGCTCCCCCTAGGGGACAGAAATGTTTTCACGTCCCTCCTCCCCCATGCTCTGACCCATAGCTCTGCAGATTTAAATATTATTAGGAACCTGATAACATGTATATTTTTATCTGTACAAACCACTGTATGAGCTGCTGCCACCTAGTGACTGGAGGCTGGTGTTGAGTTGTTTTTTGTCACTTCCTCTCACAACAGGAAGTTGACTCTTATTCTCTTCCTGTCTCTGATGCTCAGGTTTCAGGCGATGACGATGCTAAGTACACAGTGAAGGCAGTGAACAGCCTGGGGGAGGCTACATGCACAGCTGAGCTGCTAGTGGAGGTGATGGGCGAAGAGGAGGAGGAGGAGGAAGAGGAGGAGTAAGGGGCCAACCTTTCCGATATTTGCCCCTCACAGCTTGGGTGTGGAGAAATTTAGTCTTATTTCTTTACTGCATGTTCACGTCAGGTCGCCGAGGATTTTTTACAAATTGATTTTTCGTCAACATCAACATGTTTTTGCACTTTTTTCACTTTTGCTTCAAAACATCAGGCCTTCAGATCCACCAGCAGCTGTTTCTGTGCCTCTGACCTTTGACCCTCGTATTAACTGTAGGCGACAACGGCGTCTTTCATTTTCTCACATTCCAACATTTTGTGTTTTATCTTTTCCATCATACTATATTCGACAAAATATTTTTTTGAAAAGTTTGTTCACAGTTTTTGTTTGATGTTTTGTCATTATTGTTATTATTATTATTATTATTATTATTACTTACAAATTTAAATCAGAGATAATTGTTGTTTTTTTGTTCTCACCTGCTCCTAATTACATGAACACATTCAGATTGGTGTGATTGTAGACAATTTAGATTTTTCTTATTTTTATAAAGATATAAATGTTTGGAAATAAAATGTACCAAAGCACCAATGTTGTAGAAGTTCACTGTGACAAACACAAAACAAATCCCACAATCCTGCAGCCATGTTTCTTCTTCGTACCAAAAATCGACTTGTCAGAATTAAGGTCCAGTCCATGGGATTCCATAGTGTAGCAGTTAGCATATCTGTCTGGGTTTGATTCCCAGAGGAACCATATATCCCTACCGGCGCCTCCTGTGTCAGTTGCAAAAACTGAAAATGAAAATGACAAACAGTTCAGTTTCAGTTTCAGGATGATGGATGAGGATGACGACCCCAGGAGATTTGATTGTTCTCATCTTAGCAGGGGAGTACCAGTCGAAAGGAAACCTTACTCCAGGCTCTAGGATGACTTGGCAGGGGGAGACCACTCTTCAGGTCCACTACAACCATCCTTTTATTTCTGTCTCTGTCCTGTCCACTGCCTCTTGCTCACTAAGGTGATGGGTTAAAGGTCACATTTGGTTGTGTGCAGTGGTGTGCTGTGTTTTCTTATTTCTTAGTAGCAATTGTTTATAAACAAACTGAACTAACATTTAACCCATAGTTTATTTATTCATTTATTATTTATAATTATGTGCTTTCGTTAAGGCTATTTTTTTAAAATCTCAATTATATTTTATTTTTAAACAAGATAAGCAGCAGCATCATAATGTTTTGTCTTCTAATAGCTGCTCCATTTAATGAAATTCTTCCATTTTTATAAAACAAAATTGACATAAAATGATCATTTGCTTAGTAGCCTGTATTTATTTATGTAATAGTGAATCGTTTTTTGGTCATTTTATAATTATTTTATATTTAATGTAATCATTTGCCTAATGTCAAATCATATTTGCTGCAGGATTAACTTCCGGTGTGTCAGTATGTTTTCTTTTTTTTTTAACCCGGAAACCGACCGTGTAGCAATTTCGCTAGCTTGAAGCTGGTGTCAGCCATCTTAAAGACATTGATTTAACGTCAGAAAAAGCGGCGTTTCGAACCAACGCCGTCCTTAACTTTATACTTAGGACGGAGAAAGGTTGAAGACACGGCTGAAGCCCTCGGTGCAGACAACACTGCTCACCGAGATGCTCGCTATGCTGGAGGAAACCAGGGCAGAGTACGAAGATAGAGTAGAGTGGTCAGGGCAGGAGATTTGCCGCCAGAGGAGGCTGGTCGATGCCGAGTTGAAGCCTGAAGACGGGCTGCTTCCAGCAGGTCAGTCCCTGCTCAGTGGGGCCGGGGAAAAAAAAGAGCCTCCAGCTAAGCTGTTCTTTGCTAGTTAAGGCAACTACTGCAACTATGTTAGACATGTTAGTCCGGGCAATAGCATGCTATAACTAAAATTGAACGAAGGAGGCGTTGTTTGTCCGAAAAAAAATCACGTTTATCTGTACTTTTGTATGATCATTTTGACAGTTATTGATTCAATTAAATAGTTTTGGTTGTATTAAAAAGTTTATTCCGTGGATGATTAGTATAACAAATTATGTACAGAAATATATACATATACGTGTAACAAATGTGTATATATATTGATATTTATATGGATATATTTATTAGAAGGGGTGTTAGCTACTAGGTTAATACTAGGTATTAACTATGCCAAACTTTTGCTGTGGCCCCTTTTGAAAAGGTAAAAGATGAAAATATAAAACATGATCTTGTTTCAAATTTTAAGGGAATGTATCATCCATAACTTAATGCATTTTGGAGGTCATTTTATATTCCACTTCCACTTAATTATTCACATTAACAGACAGACACCAAACTTGCATGTAAAAGGAAAAAAAAAAGGTTGGGTTTCATTAGGTTTTGTTGTCATTAGTGCGTGTATGTTTTTTTTCCCCCCACTACCACCAGATGCTGATTGTCACATCATGAGTTCTTCTCCAAAGTCTCTTCACTGTCTCATGCAGGCAAGCAGCAGCCTTTGCTCGTTAAAGAGGAGCTTCCTCCTGGGCAGATAGAGTGGAGGCCCCACGTGGAGCATGAAGAACCAAGAAAGTGTCCTCAAATGAAAGAGGAAGAGGAGGAAGTGTCCATCGTACAGGAGGAGGCTGTAAAACGTCCAGAAAATATAAAGAAAGACGAGCGTTCAGTACGAGGCATCAAGGACCGTGGTAAGAGTTCAAAGGAAGTGCAAGTTAAAGGAAGGTGGAGTAGTGACACAGATGAGACAAACGTCTGCTCAGAATGTGGGCAAGGATTCAGCCTCATGTCCGATTTGCAGAACCATGAAAAACTGCACTCTCACCGGCATCCGTTTAGTTGCTCTGAATGTGGTGACGGATTTAGTCAAAGGAGCAACCTGGAGGTCCACGAGAGGATCCATTCAGTAGAGAAGGCATTTAGTTGTTCAGAGTGTGGGAAACGATTTGTGGCAAAGGGCAATCTTAGGGTGCATGAAAGAATTCATTCAGGAGAGAAACCGTTTAGTTGCTCCAAGTGTGGGAAACATTTTACCCAAAAGAGTAACCTGAAGGTACATGAGAAAATTCATTTAAAAGAGAAAACTCAGCCTTTCTCGGCCTGCGAGGTTAGATTTCCTTTAAAAACAGACCTGAAAAACAATGAAGAATTTCAGACACCAGAGAAACTATTTAGTTGCACCGAATGTGGGAAAAGGTTTACTGAAAAGGGAAATTTGAAGGCACACGAGAGAATTCACACTGGAGAGAAACCATTCAGTTGTTCGCAGTGCGGGAAATGTTTTACTGAAAAAGGGAATCTAAAGGTGCATGAGAGAATTCACTCAGGAGACAAACCTTTTAGCTGCTGTCACTGTGGAAAAGGATTCACTCAAAAGAATAGTCTGAAATTGCATGAGAGAATCCATGCAAAAGAGAAACCGTTTGGTATCGCTCCGTGTCTGTCTTTGAAGACGAGTTTACAAAATGATGATGAATTTTTATCTGGAGAAAAGCCGTTCAGTTGTTCTGAGTGCGGTAGCACATTTTCTAAAATGTGTGCATTAAAATTACATGAAAAGGTTCATAGAAGAGAGAACATCCTAGGGTCGTCCGAGTGCAGAGAGGGCAAAAAGGTCACTGGTCTAAAAACTCATAGGAGAGAGAAACCTTTCAATTGTTCTGAGTGTGGGAAAAGTTTCACATCCAAATCATATCTGAAGATCCACAGAAAAATGCATGCAGGAGTAAAACCATTCAATTGCTCTGAGTGTGGGAAAGGATTCGTAAATGAGTCAATTTTAAAGACGCACCAGAAAATTCATACGGGAGAGAAATCTTTTATTTGTTTTGGCTGCGGTAAAGGTTTTTCACAGGAGACGCATCTTCGAAGACACGAGAAAATTCACACTGGAGAGAAACCATTTGCTTGCTCCGTATGTGGGAAGAGTTTTACCCAGGAGACATGCCTGAGGAGACATGAGAAAATTCATACAGGAGAGAAACCATTTAGTTGCTCTCAGTGTGAGAAAAGATTTGTTCATAAGGCTTATTTAAAGTTGCATCAGAAAATACATGCAGGAGTGAAACCATTTAGTTGCTTTGCGTGTGGGAAGAGGTTTTTCACAAGAAGCAATCTGAAAACACATGAGAGAATACATACAGGAGAGAAACCATTTAGTTGTTCAGAATGTGGGAAGATATTTACACAAACAAGCAGTCTGAAGAAACATGAAAAAATTCATGTGAGAGAAAAAATATTTAGTTGCTCTGAATGAGCATCAGAGGATTGTCACATATTCTTACAAAAGGAGTTCTTAAAATAATTTTCCAACAAAGCACGGTGCTCAGCAGAATCAGCAGGGGGCAGTGACTATTTGACAAATTGTAATATATATTATTGTATTGATGATGTATTAAATGTGTTTATCCCAAAACACTTTGATTTCTCTTTGTTTTTTGGGCCAAAGTCGGTTTCACAGCCTAAAAATGACAATCTACGGGTTTTAAAGTTTCTAGCTTTGGGAGGAGAAAAAGAACAAAATAATATATATTGGCCTTTATATATATATATAATAATAAAAATAATACTTATATCATATATTATTAAATTATTACAGTGACAATACAGGCAGTGATTCAATGTCAGCTAAATACAGTATTTACAGCAGGTGTCGCTCACTATGTTGGAGGAAACCATGAACGGCCCTTCTGACATCTGTGTTGTTTTCTGCTTATAAAGTGCTTTAATAATAAAGTTGAGCTAAGTTTAAAACGTCAGATGATCTGCTCTCAATTCTAGTTGTTTTATAAAACCAAAAACTGAAAAAAAAAGTTATGAACAAACATTTTCTGACTTCACTGCTACTATTTAGTGCGTTTGTGTAATGGACTCTTACACAAATCAAGGATCAGACAGATCCACACCTTTATCACACACACCCAGACAGGGAAGTACAGGCACAACACCACAGCAGTAATGTTCTTATTAGGAAACCCTGAATCATGGCGATGAGGTGAGCCGTGAAGAATGAGTGTGTATGTGTGTGTGTGTGTGTAAGGGCGGTCCGTACCTTATATGGTAAAATCACACAGATTCTATCTTACATTCACATGTTGTTGAGTCAATAAAATGTGATATTTTTTAAAAATCCTTTGTGCAGATTTACCTCAAGGACAGTTATAGTAGTGGACCATGTGATTCCCTCTGGGCTTTGGTGTAAAATATTTTTTAATACTGCAGTGATAGAAACAATCTTTTTTTTAATTTTTTTTTTTAGAACATCACTAAAAGCGTTTAAATTAAAATACAAGAGAACATTTGCCTGTGTGGTCAGATCTGTATTGTTTTCTGACCTTTTGGTTCAGGCAGACTGTGACGCTTTTATTGTGAAAGACAATAAAGCGGAAGTAAGTATCGCCCCGCCCCCTTTTCTCTCTCCTCTTTTTTTTAGTTTGTTGTTTCTCTCGGTTCATACCGACATGAAGTCGATTCACAGTTAGCGTTACAGCAACATAATCTGACTATTGTTCAGGTTTAAACTCGGGAATACATTTTTTGAGATTAACCGACTCAAAGTCATGGTGGAAATAGGTTTTTCCTGCTACCGTCTTCTTCTTCTTCTACTTGTTTCTCCCGGTTTCGGCTTCAACCTGGACGAGGAAGCGCCGTCGGTTTTCTCTGGACCGGACGGAAGTTTCTTTGGGTTCTCCGTGGACTTCTTTAAATCCACTGGCAGTTTACGGTGAGTGTTTTGAGTGTGAGCTACGGTAAAAAAGAACCAAAATGATACCGGTCGATACTACCTAGCTGGCTGAAACGAACACGAAGTAGCTTTAGCTAAAACTAAAATGAAGCCTGAAGACAAACCCCTCATTCTGGGAACAGGGGATTAAACTGGCCTAGTTCAATGGAGGTGCATGTATGATGTCGGCTCAGCCCTTTTTACAAACAGCTTCAGGAGTTCATTTAGTTAACTTTTAAAAAGAAAACAGTATGGACAACAGCGTGGTCCAGCATTGAAGTGAGCACTTTTGGAGCTCGAGGCGTGGCTAACATCTCAACTCAAAGATAAACAGTTGTGTTTATGAGGCTTGTGTTGTCAATCATGTCGCCCTGGAGCTTTTATCATACCATGACACACTTCCTGTGTCTAATCAAGATAAATTCATTTTATTATTATTATTATTGTTTTATAACAGGGAACATTTCTGTGGGAGTCAGAGAAAAAATTACATTAGAGTCTTGTGACTGATGAACTCTGTCTACAGATGTGAACATGTCTTTAAATCTACAGAAAAATAAACAAACCTACAACTTAACTTATTTATTTAACAAACAATATTTGTGCCCTCAGAGATAAGGAAGGAAGGAAAGGCAAGTGAACTACTTGTCACTGTGACACAGCACACAACCAAATGTGACCTCTGCTTTTAACCCGTCACCAAAGTGAACAGCTGTGAGCGCTTCTTTAACCACTGAGCCACCGCTGCTCTGGTCAGAGACCTGCTACTTCCTATTTTCTAGTTTTTAAATTTACTTCAGTGACACAAACTGGCCTCTGGAGGCAACGGTGGTACAACAACAGGCTTGACCCTAAAAGCTATAATCACTGGTTGTATTTATCAACCTTGGGTTGTGAGTGAACGGTTTCTTCTTTAACTAAAACCGGTGTTGTGTTGGTTGGTCTACCACAGGTCAGATGTCCTGGTCGGAGCGCCTCGGGCCAACACCTCCGGTGTCAGCGCAGTGGTGGAGCGAGGAGCCGTGTACAGCTGCCCCTGGACCAACTCCGCTTCCTGTCAGCAGTTACAGTTTGACAACACAGGTACTGTAACTGCAAGGCCAGACCAGGATCTGGATCAGTCCATAGATCACTGGACCGATCCAGTGTTGTCCAACTGTCTCCAGTGTTTTTTAAAAATGCCATTAAAGCTTTGTGTGTAAGACCTTGAATGTGAAACTACTTCTGTTGAGACCCGTCTGGAATTTGACTGAGGAGGACAAGTATCGACAGGAGAGTGTCTGTGTGTGCGCATATAATCTGGAAACTAGCAGCGCCATAATAAACCCCCCAAAAACATCAGGAAAACCTCACATTTTCTAGTCATTTTTTTTTCTTTCTGCTGTTGCCTTCAGAGGTCACAACATGGGACACCTGCCTTTATCTCACCCTATTCTCCCCCTTCCTCTACTTTTACACCAACCACAGCACACACACATGGTCCCGGGGGTCTTCAGCTCCATCTTCAACATTTTCTGGTCTTTTTGTTCTTCGTCTCTCCTCTGCTCATGTCCAAAGCATCTCGAACCTTTTCTCCACCTTGACTGTCCAGATGATCTGATCGTTTCTAATCCTGTCCATCCTGGTCAGCTTCTCAGCAGCTCCATCTCTGCAAACTCAAACTCAGCCTTTTGTCTCTAAGTCAGAGCCACTGTCTCTAAACTCGAGGTCTGCCAAAATATCAATTCCAGTAGTAGAAGATTTGGTCTTTCCTTGTCAATATCGTGGCTCAAAAACACAGATGTTTAAACAATAAAAAAAAAAACCCATATATTTGTTCTAAACAGATTATCTCTCTAAAACCTGTAACAGTTCTTCAACACATTGTTTTACTGATGTCACAAGAATGGAACAGAACAGAACATTTGTCTCCTGTCTTGTCCTTCTCCTCAGACGACAGAACTAGTAATGGAGCACAGATGGAGTTTAAATCAAAGCAGTGGTTTGGAGCTTCTGTCCGCTCTGATGGAGAACACATCTTGGTGAGAACATCACACCTGTTCTTCCCTCACAGAGATGGCTCCGGGGTTAATGTCCGTGTCTCTCTGTCTGTCTGTCTCTCTGTGTCACCAGGCCTGCGCTCCTCTCTATCAGTGGTCCACATATGGAGGGACAGAAAGAGAACCTGTTGGAACTTGTTTTCTAAAGAAAGGAGGAACAGTGGTGGAGTACTCGCCCTGCAGATCCAGTTCGTCCCATTTACTTACTGTTCTATACTGGCTTGACATTTCCTCCATCTCAGCTGTTCAATTCCACTCGCCCTCCTTATGTCCACTTTATTTTTCTGTCCATCTTTCTGTCTGTCCACTTCCTCTTACTGTCCGTATGAGAACTTTACCAGTTGTTCTTTTAAGATCTGTTCTCGGTTCCAGGTGCCAACACTCCAGAGGGACAGGGCTTCTGTCAGGCTGGTTTTAGTGCTGACTTCTTGAAGGTCTGTCCTCATGAAAACACACACCCACTCCTATGTGTTTGTGTACACAGACCACCACAGACCTACTGAGCAGCAGATAAATATATATATATATAT